GTAGAGACTCAAAAAGAAATGGAGCCGTTATATATTTACTTACAAGACATTTCATTAAATTTCTGGCCTTCAACAATTCCAGAGAAATGTATCGATGAATTATTCCCAGAAAATTTGATGGTGGCCAACACATTTGCTGCTTATGAATTTACGATGAACAAGATTGAGGTGATTGAGGTAAGAATATTTATTAAAATATTTATTTAAATTTTTTATAGTAAAAAATTTATTAATTATTCTTATTTTAATTTTAGCAAAATATGAGAAGACAAGTTAATCTTTCTAGAAATTATCCAGTTATTAATCAACGAACGGCACCTGCAACTAGAAATGTTTCGACAAGGAAAGGCAAAAAAGGAACGTCAAAATTTGATGCAATGTAAATCGTTCACTATAACGTGCTTTTTAGTTTATAAATTTTAGATTAGTAAAGTAGCCTTTGTATTGATACTTTTCTTAATAAAATTTTCACATGGTTTTTTATTATCGTTATATTTAATTGAAATAAAATGTTCAATATCATTTTATTATCACATTTTGTAGATCTTTGATAAACATCTTCACAAGCCACAGTAGCAATTCTCATTTTATAAAAAAAATGGAACTTACAAGCAAAGATTCTTTCAACCCGACACCAAAATTAAAACCTAGCTCAATACCAATTAATTTTGTTTCTTTTAATCAAGAAGCGTATAATTGCTTTCGTTGTGGTGTCGTCTATTGTGAAACACATTTATTTAAACAAAGATATTGTAAAAACTGTTTATTCTTGTATATTAAAAGTATAACCGATAGTAACACGTTTGAATTAGAATGTTATTGGGAACAGGTTGAATGCTTAAATATTAGATGTAATCAGCATAAAGCAAATAAAAGTTTGGATTCTATTACACGAAACGTTCAAGAATGGCGTAATGTTTGCTTAGATATTTCATATTTTGGACAGATTATCACAGAAAATTGCTCGGGTGGCCATTATATAGAATATATATTCGGAAATAGAATATTTTGTAAGTTATGTGGAAGAATAGTTTACGGAAATCTCCTAATCGTTGAGTTCAGGTTGTGCTCAGATTGTTACACGATTTATTTTGGATGGGTAGAATCATTATATAAAAAGCCTATACCAATCCTTTACTTACCCTGGTGGGATACTTTTAACAAATGTTTAGGTTTGTCAGCTAAACTTGATTTTCATATCTGACTGTCAGAAATGGTGTCCAGGTTGTTATATAATTCACGCTGGATGCAGATATTGTTTAACGACAAATATTATTTTTGGATGTCACAATGCAGTAAATGCAAAAGAAGTATTACTATTGATGTTAAAATCGTTAATAGTGGAAAGTGGATTTCATACACCCGATTTTACGAAAATAGCACAAAGTGATCTTGGAACTATATATCGGGCAACTTGTAGCGATATACGTGATCATTCATTGAAATTTACTGTAGTTGCTTTTCCAATTAGAAAATATTCTTAAACGAGGTTATTTATTTGTTGATATTTTCATTATCAAATTTATCAATTAATTTTTTTTTTTTCGAAAAAATGTAATTATAGTTAAGTTCGAATTATCATTGTAATAAATTTGGTGATGTGACAGGTATTCTCCATTGTCATGGAATTACACAAAATCCCAATACAAATGAATATATGCTGGTAATGCAATATTCAAAAAGAGGAGAGGAAATCTATATGATTATTTACAATAAGATATTGGATGGCAAGAAACAATACGAACTCTTCATGAAATTTCTTCCGGGGATTATATTAATTTTATTTTTATTTTTTTTTAAATATTAAAATTTTTATTGATTCCTTTTTTTTTAGGCTTGAGGCCATTCATCATGCGGACTTTATCCATTGTAATTTACACGGAGGGAATATATTGTATATTCAAGGTTGGAAAATTGGAGATTTTGGATTTTCACAGCCTGCAAATAATACTTTGCCAAATAATGAAATATATGGAGTAATTCCTTATATTGCACCGGAGATATTTAATGGTGCACCATTTTCAAAAGAATCTGATATTTATAGTATGGGTATGATCATGTGGGCATGTGCGTCAAGTCGGAAACCTTTTGCTGACATTGAACATGATCTGATTATTAAAATCATTAATGGAACACGACCAAAGATTCCAAAAGATACTCCTGAATGGTTGGCTAAATTAATGAGTGAATGTTGGCATTCTGATCCAAGTAAAAGACCTTCTATTAACCATGATCCTAACGACTTTTGAGCATAATTATAAGGATGATTCGCAGTATGAAAAAAAGCGACTAGCACCAACGGAATTTTCCGGACAACTTCCAAAAGTGGTTACAAGTAGAAACATTAAATTCTTTAATTTCTAGATCACCTATAAATTCGTCGATGAACTCAAGTATGATGAAACAAAATCAAGGTTTTTGACGGGTGGGGGGGGGGGGGTTTTTTTTTTAGAATTAACGATTATTTATTTAACTTTGGAAAAAAAAAAAAAAAAATTTATTTTTATATTTACCTTTAGATGATATTACAAAGGAAGTCAAGTTTGATAAATTCTTTCATAGGTCATTATGTAAATTAAAAATTTGAAGTGAAGGTGCATTTTATTAATTAGAAATTTTCATAATAATTTAGGTTATCTATAATATATGCAAATTCCACCAATCAAAATTCTTTAAACACGAGTGCAATTTATTCTAGTAAACCGCTTATTGAAAATTTAGAAATTAAATCTGATGACAAGTTGTAAGTAAAAAAAAAAAAATTTTCTTCATTATATTTATAAATATTTAACATTTGATATATAAATAAAGAAAATCGATAACTCACCCTCGTGATATGCAGTAAATCAAATTTCTCTGACAAAATAATATCCAATTTATTTTTTGACATAAGTATGTTCCCAGAAAAAGTTTTTGAATGTTTTTAGATTTCTGTTTCAAGAAATTTATTTAAATTTATCTCGCCCTCTTAGCCTAAAAAAAAAAAACATAAATTCATATATAAGCATGTGCAATTTTTTATAGCTTCACTTAAGAAGAATTTAAGTTCTAAAATTTGTATATTTGATTGATGAAGTTAGAGAAATGTAACTTTGGTCACGTCATTCCTAAATTACCTTGTAATAACAGCCAAGTACGTGTTGCAATAAAATTTATTATTATTTGAATTTTGAAATCGTTTATTATATTAAAAAATAAAATAAAATAAAGAAAACAAAAATCTATCTTCTTCTTGGTCTTTTATCAATTTGTCTTTGATGTTGTGATTTAACCCAATTTCTCCATTCCAAATAACCACATCTAAATCCTACATGTTTAAATTTAGGAAAAGCAGCATCTAATAACGTAGTTTTAGTTTGAAAATTATTACAAACATTAAAACCTTTATTATTTAATACATCAATCTTGGTAATGAATTCTTTAAGCCCTTTTAATTTCTCATCATCATTTTGATATAAGAATTCAATTTCATTAAAGTAAATTCTTGATAAAGAAATTTTTTGAGTTTTTAAAGAGTCCAACCAACATGAATGAGTACTTCCTTTATATTGAACCAATTCGAAATTTCGTAACTTTTTTTGACAAGAGACCAAGATACCCAAATCGATGGCACATTGAATGTGATCAAAGGATGATTCATGCCATAATGTACCCCCAAAATCCGCTGTCAAGTACTCCAATTTATTACAAATCTTACTTAAAGTATTCGAGAAATTATATAGATACAAAGCATCTTTTGATAATGACACGTGTCTCACATCCTTAAACATCTCTTTAATCGAAACTTCATTTAAATTATTAAAATTAAACGTATTAATGTTACTAAGTATGTCTGGATATTTCGTCCAACAATCATATTTAAAAGAATAATATTCCATACATCCGAATTCAAAATAATCAATTCTCGTTCCTCTACATGAAAATAATTCGAGGAGGCACCTAAGAATTATATCATGACAATATAATTCATCATATTCGATACACCATTTGATAACGTTTTTCGCTAACGTGTGGATTTGTAATTCTTTTAAATAGATGGGATAATTATACATCGGTTGATCATATGATGTGGGAGGTAATGTTATCCCATGATTGTAAAGGAGTTGTTTTTGTTCTAAAGATAAGCATGAAAGGTACGTGTTTATGGTTGATACTCTGTTCCCTGATGGATCAAAAAATGGTGCTAACCATAATAAAGGTAAGAAAGAATTACACCAATTTTTATTAACCAACATGAATGAGAGGAGATTTTTATTATATTCTTTGGAATGGGTAAATCGACCTTTTGGAAAGATTTCCTTAAATATTAACAACAATTCGTATGATAAGGACATCTTTTTAAACGTAACGTATGTATATTAATGAAATTTTGCGAAAAAAAAAAAAAAAAATGTTTAGAGGAAGTAATTAGTTGGGTTAACCCATCCCATGTATTTAAAAGTTTTAAAATATGCAAGTAGTAAATCCGGAAATTTACTGCGTTTTAAATTCGCATATAAAAAAAAATATATATATTTTGCCATAAACGATAAAATTGGATAACCTGAGAAATTTCTAAATATAAATTTTTAAAAGGAACTAATTAAAATACTCCTTTTTTTTTTCTATGGACACATTCAAATAAACAAACAATTGCACATATGATTTTTCGCTTTAAAACAAGATAATTGTTGAATTTTAATAAATAAACGAATTTTTTATTTTTATTTCATGTGAAGCATTACTTCAAATACAACTCATTATTGTTTATATAAAGGCAGGCATTCTCGAAAAAAAGAAAAAAGAAAAAAGAAATTTCTTGTAATTTAAAATACCATAAAATTATCACAAACAAATAATATGTATAAGCCTAAAAACGAAAGATTGATTATTCAAAATGAACCAGTGGTTAAGTTTAACCTTAACCGTAAACTTTGCGAAAAAAAAAATAATAATAATAATAATAATAATAAATTTATTTAATCCAAACCGATAATAAATGAAAACGTGAAAAAGTAAGATCAAAATGCCCTTCTAAGCAAACTAGTTAAAACCGGATATAAAGTATTATCTTGTACAAATTCCAAAGCGCCATTTAATAAAATCAAATTTTCAGAATTAGGCACAATACAAATTTTAACATTCTTACTAAACTCCAATTTTTTAATTTTCTGCACCAAATAATCACTTTTAAAAATGTTCCCAACAAAGAATATGACAGAATACTCAATATATTCATCTTCATCTTTAAATTTAGTATTAATAAATCGTTGCAATCTATCCGATAAAGGATCGAATAAATCTGCGATCAATTTCAAATCTAGTTCAACACACCATTTATTTAATTCTAAATTGGTTTTTAAATTTTCGTTTTTCAGTGATAAGATTAATTCTTTTAATGATGGTAAAATTGAATCTAATTCAATTGTTCGAATTGTTTTACCAGTTGATTGAAATTTTTTAATTAATGATTCAAGGTTTGGTTGGATTTGTAATTGAGTTTGATAAATTTGTTTTAGATTTGTATTTTTTTGAATAGAAATATCGTTGGAAATTCCTTGAGATGTTAAAAATCTTTTTTCAATACTTGAATTTTCTTTAAAATCCCCTTTACGATCATGAATTTCATCAAGTGTATTTTCTGACATATATTCTCTTGCGGTCAAATTAATTGTATCCCTATCAATCTCCACGATCAAAAAATAATCTATCATCAAAAAGGAATCAATGAGAGAAGGTATCAAATTTATCATCAAAATAAAAAATAAATGAATTGCAAATTGTATAATATACCTCCATATTTTAATACACCCTTATTTTCGGATAAGCAATTCAATGCAATAGCTTTTCCTTTGAAAGTAAATGATGAATATTTTATATTAGAATACCATCAAATTATTCAATTAAAGAAGTCATTATAAAATTTAAATGCACCTCTCGAAATAAATTGAATATTCTCTTTATTATCACAAAGCAATCGATTTTCAAGTAGACATTGACTTAAAATGTTGCAATATGTTGGCCCCTATAATAAGAAGGAAAAAAAGTTATATTAGGAATCGAGTGTTCTTTTTTTTTTTTTCTTTTGTTACATACCCATTTATCTGGCACAATGAATACAACACCAGTTTCTTGAGAGGGCTTAACTCCAGTCCAATTTTCTTGTATGGTAGAAACAATAACCTAGAGGAATGATTTTTACAATTTTATTAAAATTTTAAAATTAAAGCAACTTTGAAAGGTATCCTTAATACCTTTTGTATCTCACTTAAATAATCGCTAATTAACTTTTTTCGAGAGAGTTCAGGTGGTAACCAATTGTCTTCTTGTTCACTATTAAACACTTGAAAGGTACAAATTTCTCTTGGAAATTCCGAGTCTTCATTCGGATTATCAGGATCGTTTTTTAATTGTTGTAAAACTGGTGTGCCCCATCTTATTATTTTTGTATAGTCATCATTATATTCGATTATTGCTGGTGATCTAATAATTCCTTTTTCTTGTCCTTCCCTAAATACAAATCTAACCATGTGAGGAAATTTGAAAGGAAATTTATTAAAATCAGAAATGTTTACTATAAGAAACTACCATTGTTCGAAAACTATTGTCGATTGTAAGAATGAATGCTTTAAAGAATGGGCGAAACCTAAAATCAAAATAAAAAATAAATAAATAAACAAAATTTCAAATAATCCAAAAGAAACAAATGGAAGGGACCCCCCTTACAGGTGAATTCGGTTCCGATATCTAATCAACGTTTATAAATATAGGTGAAATTTGAATTTCAAATATACCCGTGAAAATAAAAAAAAAAAATAAAAATTATCCATTAAAATCCTACCTATAGCAACAACGACTTTTTGAAACATATTTCTAAAAGAAATCTTTTCAAAGTGTTTATTTTACATTTAGCCAAATTTATAAAAACAATGTTTTTTGTACTAATTTCGTGCGACACCAAATGATTAGTTATTATAAATTGAGAATTTTTTGTTAAAAAAAAAAATATATTTTTGTTTTTTTTTTATTTTATTTTATTTTATTTATTTATTGAATATCTTTGTTAAGGGGTTTTGGGTTCGATCACGATTTTTTGGTTCGAATTAACGACAAGAGTCATGAGGCACGTGATCACAAAATATCGGTGCTACCAAATTTTAAATGTAAAGTGGTATAAATTTTTTTATTATATACAGATTTCGATCCATAATCTTAATCGTTATAAAGGCAATTTGAAAACATTTTTTAGTCATTATATTTAAAATAAAATATAAATCAATTTCCTAGGGAGATCTAACTATCCTACTAAAAGGAAGGTGGAATTAAGGATTTGATCCATGGACTTCTTTGATTACTTGATAAACTTCGAGCTCTTCTACAAGGAATGGAGCTTGTATGTCTCTGATATGAACGGTATAAGCATTACCTTTACAAATAGATCCATATTCTCTGCCAAAATCTCCTTTAAGATACAAAGCACCATTAAAAGTAGGACCATGGTTAGGGATATTTCCAACCATACCCGAACTGCCTGGTCTAGGTCTACCTATAATTGACTTATTAGCTTGCTTATTTAATTTAAATACAAAACATTCATTTGTCCTAAAATATGTACTATCAGGATACAATGATTGATCCCAACTAATAGGATTATATCCACCGATTATTTCCGTTGAACCACGAATTTTTATAATGGATAGCGTTGGTCCCTTATTATCGCATAATTCATGAAATTTGCCTGCAGTAAGTCCATTTTCGCTTCCTCTTAATATTAAAGAGAAATTATAACAAATATCTGAATTAGATGATATATCTGTGGTTTCATTTATCCATTTTGTAAACAATCGGAAATGATCTAAATCTAATATTGAATTTAATCTAATATTAAATATCGGTTCCGGTCTATCTTTTTGTGGTGAAGAAGCTGTAGATGTAGGAGATGATGTAGGCTGTGATGTAGATTTTGATGTAGTTGAATCCAAATTTTTGGAGGATACTATGTGATATTTGAGGATATCTTCAAAAAGCGGTTTTTCGATAATTTTCTTAAATGGTTTAACTTTCTCATAAAAGTCTTCTGGTTTGATCTTATAAAAGTCAATTAATGGAATAAATTGCTTAAGAGTATTTGACAAATCTCTAAATTTATCTCTCGTCCATAATGAAACATCCGCCGTCTCTTTAAAATTTTCAGCAGCGGGTGGTGGAGAAGCTGAGCTTCCAGTATCCGCAAAGGTCCGAGAAATCCCCCATTTGATGATGAATTCCCATTTCTCTATTTCTTCAACTTTTAATTTTTCATTTTGTAAAAGAACGAGTAACGTATTCTCATCTAATAAATGAAAATCTTCTGATTTAAAAATGATTTCTGGAGAACTTTCAATGGTTTTTAAACAAAATTCGTGAAGTTTTTTAAATGATTCATGAGATGAAGATATTTGTAGGGTGGTACTAAAATTTTGATAAATTTGCCTTGGTGATTTTAAAAATTGATTTTGTAATACGTCCAGTAATTCGGAAACATTCAATTCCTTGGTTATTAAAAAGAATTCAAACATCTCTTTAGAATTCTTCTCATCGAATTCTAGCTTACCACCATAAAAATATCTATACACACATAATTGTGTATATATATATATGTATATATATATAAAAAAAGGAAAAGAGAAAAATTATTTCAATTAAATCTGGTTAATAAACCTCACCCTCACCGCAAACCAAATATAATCACCTGAGGATTTTATCAAATAATTTTGGATTAATATCAGGCTTTTCAATAATGATTTTATTATCGGCATTCTTTTCTTTAACCCCCTCTAATTCTTTACGAAAGTAATTCGAACGAATTAAAAGTACGAACGAATGCGCATAAAATTCTTCAACGCTTCCTTCTCTCCCTGCTCGAATTATAACGTCAGCACATTCTTTTCCGTTTTCATAAAATGAAACATAATCCTTGGATAGTTTTGTAGAGAAACTATATGTTACCATTGTCAAAATGTAAAAAGCAAGTATAAAATACAGTAAATAAGTTCCCCAATTTATTTTATTTTGAACTGCAAAATTATCACGTGTTAACGTAATATTCCCGATCTGTGTACGTGTAACATCTCGTTTGATCGCGCGCTTCTTATCCTTGTACAATAAGGGGGAATAAAGCCATTATTTGGGTCAATGGACCAGCAAAAAGGACCTCCGAGACCCTCCGTCAAATTTTTTTTTTTTTTGATTTACAGAGGGTGATCACGGGTACCCGAACGATTAATTAAACTATTTGAATTTACTTATTATATTAACTTTTTTTTTAGAATAAGCAAAAAATTTATT